CATTGTTCCGTGTTCTAGTCTCTGGCGCAGCTGAAAACAAGCTTGCTTCATCCTCAATGTGACACCCCTTCAAATACCTAAACAGGGATATCATTTATATCCTTTTTTGATCAGATCACTAGTTTAGCAGACAGTGAGAATTCTGTAGATGTCATTTACCTGGCTTTCAGCAAAGCATTTGATAAGGTCTCCTGTAATGTTTTGTTTAGCAAACTGATTGAATCTGGAATAGATGTGAACACTGCCAGATCCATAACTGATTGGAAAGTCATACTCCAGGAGTAATCATGAATGGCTGTGTATCAAACTGGGAGGATTCTGAAGTGCCTCAGGGTTTTGTACTAGGGCTGCTACTCTTCAACATTTTTATCAGTTACTTAGATGACAGGGTGCAAGGAATCCTTATCAAGTATGTATATGACACAAAAGTGGAAGGGAGAGCTAACACATTGGAAGAGAGGAACAGAACTCAAAAATACCTAAATAAACTAGAAAATTGGGCAAACATTCATATAATGAAATTAAAAAGTGACAAATTAAAAATTCCACATTTTGGCAACAGAACCCAAATGCATAGGTATAGGATACGGGATACATGGCTCAGCAGTACTACATGGGAAAAGGATCTTGGGATTATTGTTGATTACAAATTGAACATGAACCAGCAGTGTAATGCTGCAGCAAAAGAGGCAAATATTATTTAAGCCTGCACTAATAGAAGCATAGTTTCCAAGGTGAGGGAAATAATAGTCCCTCTATATTCTACACTTCTCAGGTCTCATCTGGAGTTGATTTCTGGGTGCCTCATTTAAAAAATATAGACAAGTTGAAGCAGGTTCACAGAAGGGCAATGAGGATTATAAGAGGCATGGAGAGCCAAATGTATGAGGAAAAGTTGAAGGATCTGGGTGTGTTCAGCTTGGTGAAGAGAAGCCTGAGGATGACATGATTGCACTCTTTAAATACCTCAAGGGCTGTCACATAGAAGAGGGTGCAGGCCTGTTCTCTGATGCTCTAAAGGATAGGACCAGGTCTAATGGTGTTAAGTTGCAAGAAGGTATATTTGGATTGGACATTAGAAAGAACATCTTGATAGTAAGAGTGATTCAGCAATGGAATCAGTTGCCTAGGCGTGGTGGGATCTCCTTTGGATGTCTTCAAAAAGACGCTACTGAGGATGCTTTAGCTGAAGATTCTGCATTGAGCAGGGATCCTAGATGGTCCAGTTCTTATGATTCTAAGAGATCCTGAGTTATAATGCTTCCATATTCAAATATTTAAGCACCCACCTACCTCTCCCAAAAGGTCATTGTGTAGTCTCTTTAATGTAGCTATGAGGGTCATTACTATGTGGTCTGTGAGACCTCACCCTGAATACATCCAGGCTTATTTAACATAGAAGACAAACTGTGGTTTGTCATCTTTTGTAAACCAGGATCAAACACAAGTTTGCAACTCAGGTTTGTAAGCAGCTAAAAACCAGTTTTTCTGTTCAGATGCAATAGTAAACTAGCATTTTCTGAAAACCAGGGCTGAAAGTTTCAAATCTCTCTCTCTGTGCATATGGAGTGGGGAGGAGTGGGAGAAACTGTCTGAGCCTGAGGGTCATTTTACTAACATCAAAGCATCATTTTAAATTTCCTCCAGATGTGTTACACTGGTGCGCTCAACATCTTCAGGCACTATGGCTAAGCTGGCAGTGATAGAAAATATAGTCCAGCACCTCTACAAGGCAGTGGATCGCAGAAACTTTAAACCTCTCCATAGATTGACATTTCTATCTACCTCTCAAAATGACTAAAAGTAAGCTTGAAAAACTTGGGAAAAGTTCGTGCTTGCAGAACTTTGCTTGAAGAACTAGCTTGAAGAACTTCATAAAAAGTACTATTGATCTCCTCATGGACATCTACTGTATGCTTTGGGAATCATAATACCTGGACAAATGGCTTTAGCAATCATCCTTTGACAGCCTTTCACTTTTAAATTGTTCTGTTTGCAAGAATGAGGAAAGGTGGAGAAGAAGAAGTTGCTGCTGGTGCCACCACTCCTACTGGTGCCAAAGTCTTTTTAATGCCAATCTGGAGCAAAGGCTTATTCATTCACATTCCTGTCCATAGTATATACCAGAGTGAAGAAGAAACATTTGAATATCTGCTTGCAATGGGTATGGATTAGCTTATTCATTTTCAATTTTCTTTTCTAGATTTGGGATTTTCAGACATAAATTGAGGTCATGGCATGATTTTTCCTCTCCCTGGACTCTTGTGTTATGAGAATTAGTTTTCATGTTGAATTATTGATTCTTATGTTTTGTAGCCTCCCATTGCATTTAACAAGAATTGGAATCAGCTTGTTTCTCTCTCTTCTCACTTTTTTGAAGAGACTGAAGGGTATAATTTGAGACTTTAAAGAAATTAGGGCTTTTAAAATTGCATGATTACTTGTGGCACAATTGTTGGAAGGGCTGAGTTAATGGAATAACAGAGATGGCATGTACAGCAAGGTGCCTCTCACAGCTCTAAAAGGTACCTGGCATTCTTAAGCATATAACGGCCAAATTATGGTTGAAAGTATTTAGGTACTAAATCAAATCCTTATATGGTAACAGAATAGATGATTTACAAAAGGGTAATTGATATCCTTAAGCTCTTGCTCACTTCACGAACCTCCTGTTGACAGCATGGTGGATGGAGACTGTTGGAACAAACTGGAATGCTTGTTGCTAGAAAAAAGAGAATACCGTAATTGTGTATTGTATGTATTTAATGGGAATCTTTTCCAATTTCTGCATTTGCAGTTGGAAAGCACACAAATTAAATGCTTCCTGGGCTAACATTCTAAATGCAAGCTGTCTGGTAAGCAGTACCCAGACCATGTAGTAATGTAGATGAAATGCTGCTTTTCATTGCATCTCCAAAAATCCTCTGGGATTATTATGGGGGTGGGGGTGGGGGGGTGAAACAGGTGCAGCATTAGATTTGACCTTCATGTATTTTGTTCAAGAATACAGGTTGCCAGAAGCAACAGGTTTGTTATGCCAGGATATGGGGATGGATGTTGCTGGGTGGGAGAGTGAGATGGATGGGGATTCTGCATAGGACACAAAATGGTAGTGGTGTAATTTTTATGATATGCAAGCTCTTGTTTTTTTATTTTCCTCAACAGAACAGTGAGAAGGACAGAATTAGCTTTCCTGGCACTTGACCTATTTTGTCCCTCCCCATACAGACTCAGTCATAGAGAAGGTTATTAGAGAGAAACTGAACCTGCAAACCTGATATTAAGGTCTCTGGTTGAGAATTGTAAGGTAGCCTTCTGTCTTATAATGAAATGGAGATGGAGAGAAGAACTGTACTTCTGAGATATATGGGGTTAAGATATCAGTCTTCTGACACAGACAAACGTATCATGTTATGCAGTGTAGCTTGACCAAATCTTGTATTTATTTAACTGTCTGAAATAGTTATCTGTGCTGTATCTGAAAAGCAGAATGAATTTTTCTGTTCCCATCATGCTTCCCCTTTTATTTTGATCTCCATTTGGCTTTTCCTTCCAGCTATCATTCTGAGCTTTTAAAAGATGGACAGGGCTCTTCAGCCTCAGCCTATATACACCTTTGTTTATAGCTGCAATTATTTGAATTTCTTATGTTAAAAAAAATCAAGCACTCCTACATCTGTTCTGCAAAATTTAATTAACCAGCTGGGTATATTGAGAAAGGAGAAGAACTTGGAAAGCTTTTGAAATGTGTTATATGTAGAATAACCTGTTGCTCTTCCTTTATGCAGAGTAGTTATTTGTGCCTCAGTGCTTTGAGGGTTGTTGTTTTTCTTATTTAGTGTATTGGGCATTGTATTATTTAATTCATGTTGAAGTACTGTACACCTGAGTGTGAGTATTTTTTAAGTCTCAGTTGTTCTATTACTTTGTATAATCAGAATGGTCCTTTTTTAAACCCATGTATATTGTTATTTTATATTAGTTTCCACTAGTCTGGAGGTCACTGGTATGGGGTTGCAGGAATTAAGCAGAGCAGTGGAGGACAGAGGGTCTTGGAGATGTCTCATCCATAGGGTCGCCATGAGTTGAGATCAACTTCAGGTCAGTTAGCAACAACAACAACAACAACAAAAGTTTCTAAAGCAGGGTATCAATTTTGTGGCAAGACAAAATTGAAGCTGAGGGCAGTGTGAAATTAGGCTGAACAAGGCATTAGTTCCTAGGGACACAGGTTATGCATCCTCTGACCTAGCACCAGTTCCATTATTGGACAACATGAGTGGGAAATTGATTGAGAATGTCATCAGTCTTTTGTAATCTTCCAGTGCTCAAAGAATGATACAAGCACACACACAGGTGTCATTTTTCCTGAGTTGCAACTGATCTTATCTGACAAAGATGCTTCTAATTTTAGCTTTTTTTCTTATCCATTTCCAAATTGCATTTGCATTCTTATTGGTCTGTACTGGGTTTCAGTTTTAGCTGAATGGACTTTCTTTTGCATGAATGCTGGACTTTCTTTTGCATGAATGCTGTTCAAAGCTTAGCTTTATCTTTATAGGGCACAAGTCTTCTTCTCAATACAGTTACTGCAGATCTGGAGTGGTAACTGTGCAGCCATGCAGATGTTAGATTGCAAACCCCAGCCACCCTATCTAGGATAGTCAATGGTGAGGGTTGCTGAGAATTGCAGTTCAACATCTGGAAGACCACAATACTCACCCTTGCTGTAGATCAGTGGTTCCCAAACTTTGGTCCTCCTGATGTTTTGAATTTTAGGTCCCGTATTTACTAACTGTTGACCACGTTGGCAGGGGCTCCTGGGATCAGATGTCTAAAGCAAATGGAGGATCAAAGATTGAGGACCACTGCTGTAGATGGTGGTTGTTGTTGCTGCTGTATTTCTTTAAATCATTTCTGACATATGGTGATGCTATGGTGACCCTATCATAGGGTTTCTAGGGCTGAAAATGTGTGACTTGCCACCCACTGGATTTCCATGGCGGAGCAGGGAATCGAACCCTGATCCCCAGAGTTGTAGTCCAGCATTCAAATCACTGAACCATGCTGGTTCTCACTTTAGATGGTATTGAACTGATATACCATAGTTTCTGTGTGACAGGCTTGGCACCACAGTGTGAAAACTAATATGGAAAAAGCTTGCATGTGCCAGTGAATGGGTAACATTGTCTGAAAGTCAAATCAATCAGCATGTTGTTCTAGTGAATTATTTTATATTGGTTGTCAAGACAGGCACCTCATCATATTTCTGGAGGAGAAAACAATTTGAGAAATCGTGATCTGGCAAGATTGTGAAGGAGGGCAGGTATTAATGAACTTATCATCTGCAAAATGGAAACTTGATCTTAAAATGAGAGATCTAATAATAATAAATGGGGGGGACTTTCAACCCAGTCTCCCCATTTTTTTAAAAAAAATTGCTATGGTGATACTCATAGCAATGTTGCTATGGTATCACATGAAATTGTCTTCTTTACTGGCTTGTTCTTAGATAACATAAATACTTTACTTCTTGGGGGTCTTGCCTTTGACTTTCAAATCTATGGCTCTAGGAGTAATGGATAAATTCATGAACCTGGCTTTTTTCATGTTCTGCAGAAAAGTTTTTTATTTGTGGATTTTTCACTTTCATGGGGGTCCTGTGCCCCTAACCCCAGTGAATGTGGAGGTCCCACTGCACAACATTTTAAAAAAAGCTTTGTAGCAATCAGCAAATGTTAGGCGATCCAATACCTATGGCTAATGGCCCACCAGAGAACTACTCTCCCTTCTTTCTACCGAACAAAGATGTCACATCTGACACACTGTGTTTTACTGTGACAGATAATTAGAGTGAAAACCCTTATTAAATGTTATCCACATTTTTCCCAACACCAGCACCTTGACAATGTATAGTACAAAGAATTATTGAGGCACCACTGGAGCAAAACTATAACTGAATGATGGATCAGTATATAATTACCCCAGAATCCAAGCCAACTCTACTGAAAACTCCCTAATTCATGGTAAGACTATGTGGCATAATTGATTTGGGGATGCTGCTGAAAATGGACAGTTCACCTCAAGTTCTTTTTTTTTTTTTTTTTTGCACACATAGTGTCACTTGCCCCATATAGTGATGATATTGTGAATATCTCCACACATGTTTCCATGTAATAAAAATTGATTTTGTTATCTGTTGCTTTCTCTAGTTGGTGTAAATGTTTTTCAGCTCCTCAATAATGTGGTTTGTTTCCCTGGCTAGAATTTGAATTTGAAGACCACTCATTATATATTTCACTTCTAAAAATACACAAAGCAAAAACAGTCTAGAAATGAAACCAGCTTTTAGCTCCTTCTGCAGTATCCATTAATAGGCAAGTCTTCCTTTTATTCTTTCTTCTGTGTTGTTTAGATACATCTGCGCAGGCATGTTGCTGAATTATTTACACTATTTATAACACTGTGCACCAAAGTTCCCAGCCCGGGGCTGAATTCTGAGTAGACAGTTAACATTAATTCCCTGCCTTTTTTTCTCCTGGTGGCTAGTAACAATAGCAATGCAATTCAACCAATGCCTGAAATAATATTTTTAAACTTCAACATAGTGGAGGTCATTTAGGGAATTTCAGTCGCTTCAGTGGTAATTTATATATTGCAGGCCTGAAACATTATTGCTTTAAAGGCAAGAAAGATAGACAAAATGGGAATGAAAAGACACTAATGGTACCTAAAGTTTGAGGACAGAGGGTTGGGATGAATGTGTTTTCCTAATAGTAACTATGACATAGTTACTCTGCATCAGGAATTATATACTTGAGGTCTCAGGGTCAAATTCAGCCCCTCTCAGACATTTTGAAGTAGCCTTAATACCCTAAAGGCATAGTGATTCTGGCTGAGTTTAGAAGCTAAGTAGGATTAGGCTTGGTTAATACTTGGATGGGAGACCGCCAAGGAATACTTGGTGCTGAAGGCTATGTTTCAGAGCAAGGCAATAGCAAACCACACCTCAGTATTCCTTGCCTAGGAGAATCCTATGAAATTCACAGTTTCACCATAAGACAAGAGCACACAGATAAACACAAGAAGTTTTAGAAGGCCCGTTATTGTCCAGCCCAAAAGAAAGAGATTGAATTGGTGGGGAATGATGGCAGTGTCAAGGGAATGTGAAGCTAGACTGCTTTGGGGCCTTTTCCTTCCCTGCCCCAGCTTTTTTCTTTCTTTTTTTCCTTCCATTCTATGAGTGACAATATTCTAGCATCATATTTTCCCCAACACAAGACAAACAGCTCAGAGGAATATTTTTGAGTAGACAAATGGCTTAGTTATGACTCCCCCTCCCTTCTCCATATGCTGATCTTGGGGTGTTTTTTTTAAAAAAGAAGAGATGGTATCTGATAGAAGTCATTGTAGCAGATGAAAAGACATGCAAACAAATAAGTGCTCCCAGCATTCATGAACCATCAGACTGTCTGAACAGCAGTCAAGACAATTAGCCTGGCACATCTCTGCAGCAAAGCCTTTATTCATAGTGCAGGCAGGATGTTCCTAGATATTAGCCTCTGAGAGTATCTGTTCCATTGAAATCCAGGTGCAGCAAAAAAATAAAAATAAAAAAATGAAACAACCTTTTGTATTGAATTGTATTTGATGATATGGTTACCTAATTCTGATGTGGCATTTTGACAGAATGATGTTATTTTAAAAAAAACTAGTTTGTGGCCCCATCCTAGCTGCACCGACGTAGGGACATTTGGTATGGTTGATCAGCAGAGCAAGTAAATAAGTTCCTTTTAATATCTAGGTTTGAAAGTATGTTGTTCTTCACAGAATAAAAACCCCACAGGCCATCTAAACAATACCTATGGTCTTGACCACAGATGTGCCCCACATTTCTAAATCTACCATCTCTATCAGAGGCAGAAAAAGGCCTTTGAAACTAACAGTTTTTCCTGAAGGCCCCATAAAATCCTTTCTTTTCTTTGTATGAGATATATACACTCATGTGCAATCAAGATGAAATTCTGAAGGGTCTATTCCATGGGAGGGAGCGAAAGCACCAAACAAAGTAAACAGAATTTTCTCAGTCTCTGCAAACTGCAAATATTTCATAAACACAAATGGACTAACAAGTAATTTGGTTGCCTCTCTTTCTGTCTTTGCTGTTTTGATAAAATGTTCAATGAAGTGAAATGGAATGTGCAAGAACTTATTTGACTTAAATTTGCATCATAGCAACTCTGAATAAATTCTGTTAACTCTGTTGTTCTTAAAAGACGGTGAAGGCTGAGTATATTGAGTGAGAGTTACATAAGATGTGCATGTGTATACATATGTTCTCTGGGGTGGTGTTCTCAAGGCCTTCTAGACAAAATGCAACTTATCTATAAGAATCACAAAAGTGTTTCACTCCAAATGAGATACACCCTTTCGTAAGGGATGTACTAAGAAATTCATTCCAAGAAATCCATTGCTCTACCAACCAAGATAAAAGAATAGATAATGATCTATAATGTCTTTCCCAGATCCAAAAGCATACACACAAAAGTGCATTTGCATAAGTTAGATTTCATAAAAATGATGTTTTCTACGAATCTATAGTGGGAAGATTTAATTGAAAAATATCCAAGGTGCTGCCCCTGTTTTATTGTGAAAATAAATAACCTGATTTTTTTCCAATCACATTGTCTGGCAATGAAAAAAAAAAAAAAGAGAGAGAGAGAGAGGTCTGATTGCTTTTCATCAAAGTTGGGGCAATTTACTCTTTAGGCTATAGTTCCTAGAATCATGTAGTTCAAAAATAAAAATAGCTTTCCATGCTCTGCTGTTCACCTTGTCTGACAATTTACTCGACATTTTGATTTATCAAAATAATGGCTTGAGAAGTCAGCCCCTACTATGGGATTTCATTTTCTCATGTTAATGTCCATAGGGGCCACATGCTGCCTGCAGGATCACAGGCAGCAGACGTATTTGCTGAGGAACAAAAGTGGGAGAGGACTATTGTCCTCATGTCAGGCTTGTAAGTTTTTCAGAGGCATCCAGTGGACCATCATAGGACATCTTTTGGCCAATCTAGAAGGACTTTCTTAACTAAAACTCTTAGCAGTATTGTTTAGAGAAGCTATGTTCTGAAGATCTAGCAGGTTCAGTTGCAATCAAAATAGCAAAGTAGTGTGGGAAGAACTATGTTTCCTTGTAGCACAGGGGTGAGGTCCCACACTGAATTTTTGGGCTTCTCTATATGACTATACCTTGTTCTCCATGACACCCTCATTGCGTGGTTTCCCCAGCTTTTTACAAGTCCTTCCCTCTCATTCTAGATGGCTGAAATGCCTCTTCAGAGGCTTTTTTACTGGCAGTGACAGGTCCAAGCTAATAAATTCTGGTCTTTTGGTCCCACCTTTTTGCTTTTCATCCCACCAACCACTGGGATGCCCTCATGAGAGCTTCTGAAAGGCATATAATTTTTTTAAAATTGAAGATAGACCCTCCAGTGAAAGAAGTTCCCAGCCCTTCTTGTAAAAAAGGTGGTGGAGAAACCAGACAATTCAAGATTTTATGGCCATCTTGGAAATCAGTAGCGGACTAGAAAGTGACCCAATTTTTATTTGTTTTGTCTGAAAAAATTGCTGGCTTGCAAATATCCTTTGGTCCTGTGATTTAATTAATTGTGAAGACTAGAGCAGTAACTTTAAGGAATGGATCGGCTGCCCCTGCACTGCAGGC